TGCAAACAATGAAGCAACCAACGCTCGTATTAATGAACTCACTCATGAAATGGCCGCTATGCGAGCTCGTTTTCCTCCTCCCGATCCTCCTACTGATGCTTGATTCTGTGTTTTGCTTTAGTACTTTGAACTTAAAGCTTATTGTTTAAACATTTTGAATGTTTTTGGATTGTTTTCTTTTTGTTGTTGGATATTTGAACTTATTTGATGGATTATGGATGTTTGAACTTATATATTTGGTGTGGTTAAATTTCTTCATTATTGCATCATTTACATCATGTTAGATATATGACCAATTTTGCCATGTCACAATGTTTATGAATATTGATTATGAAACTAATGACTAACATTTCTCTTGATTGTGATCTTAGCAACTTAAACTATATATATAATCAATTGGCTAAATGATTTCAAAACCTTGTTTAAATTCTTTTACAAATCTTTTTGATTTAACAAAAAGGGGGAGAAATGTTATTAAATTAAAAGGGGAGTTTTTGAAGAGGAGTAGTGTTAAAGTAAGGGGGAGTAGTATTTTTCAAAATTAAAATTCATTTTGAAATTAGAAAATCTTAAAATGTTTTGTTATATCAAAAAGGGGGAGATTGTTGAAAACATTTTGATGTTTCGATATAACAAATTAAATTAAAAGAATTTTAATTTTGAAAAAGATTTTTTCTAAGCATATTCGATATATTAAATCGAATATCAAAATAGTACTCAAAGTATTTCAAAGTTCATTTTAAATCCTTACTCAAGTGTAAAATTAAGTTTTAATCTTAAAATAATTTCAAAACGATTTTACAAAATATTTCGAACCATTTCAAAGCCAAAAAATTACAGATTGCTCAGAGGGAACCGATTCCCCCCTGAATGGTTTGGCTCCAAGAATTCCAGTATGCTCGGAGGGAACCGATTCCCCCCACTGTTCAACAGTCGAAATATTTGAATTTTACACTTAGGGAACCGATTCCCCCCACGCTCCAAGCAGAAATATTAATTGTTTTCACACTTAAATGGCTATAATAACTTCATTAATGATCCCCAACGTTCAGAAGTGATTCAAGGTGTATTTAAGCAAGCTTAGAAGCCATTGATAAAAAACAAGAAACATCAAGCAACTAGAATCAAGAGAGAATCAAAGAGAAAGCATCAAACCTCGAGTTTGAGCATTTCAAGCCTATCTTTCATTCAATATTCATTTTGCTTTCAAGAACACTTATTGTGTTAATTGTATTCATTCTTGAGTGTTCTTTTCTTTGTTCTAGAATTGTGCAAACAATCTACCTTGTGAGGATTTCCTTGTAAGTTTGCAAATTTGTATTGTTCTCTTTGGGAGAGAGTGTTCTCAAGAATTTGGGGTATAATTCTTGAGGGTTTGTAAGGTTACTCTTTGTCCTCAAAAAGAAAGACAAATTAGTGAATTTGTGGAAAATCCTTAGTGTGGATAGCTAAGGTAGTGGACGTAGACTTTGGTTGAGAAAGTTGAACTACTCTAAATCGCTGTGCAAATTTCTTTCAATTTTCTGCAAAAGCTTCCACCAAAATTTTAATTGCCAATTCACCCCCTCTTGGCCATATTCGTCAATCGATTAACTCAACAGAGAGAATCAAAAGCCTTATAAAAATCGATTTTAAGAGCACACTTTAGATATATATGTTTCCTTTCATAGTCTCTAACAAGTTTCTAAGCTAGAAGAGTGTTGTCGATAATAGATCTTCCACGAACAAAAGCAGACTAGTTAGGAGTAATAATAGCAGGAAGCAAAGTGGTCAGTTTTTTAACAAGGAATTTGGAGATGGTTTTGTACACCACTGAGCAACATGAGATGGGTCTATAATCCTTTATAGAACTTGGATTATGAGTCTTAGGAATCAAGGCTATAATTGTAGAGTTAAAAGATGGCAGGATGAATATTTCTTCAAAAAAGAATATGGTTGCTTTGGTAACATCCTCCCCAACAACATACCAAGATCTTTTAAAGAAAAGAGGGGTAAATCAATCTGGGCGAGGAGATTTATCATTTCCTTAACTGAATATGGCTTCTTTGATCTCTTCATTTGAAACATTTTTTACTAAGTCTGAAGAAAGTTCAGTAGACAAATTGAATTGAAGATGCTTTTTCAAGAAATGAGGGTCAGTTTACTGCATATTATGATAAACAGTCCCTAATTGTTGTTTGAAAAATTCTAAGGCTTCTGAAGACATGTCTTCGAAAGATTCCAGCCTTTTACCTTGAGCATTTATAAGGACTTTTATGGTATCATTTTTGTTTTTTGTTGCCATAACTGAATGAAAGTATTTAGAACACTTGTCTCCCTCTTTAAGCCACTTGACCTTTGATTTTTGCCTTAAAAACAGTTTTTCAGCTTCTTCAAGAGCAGCAAGCTCATTTTGAATAGAAAATTCCTTCTCAAGGGGGCTGGTTCCTTTAAGAGTATAAATTTGAACTTGTTTCAACTCTGTTTTCTTGAGCTTGACTCTAGCAGAAAGATTACTGTAGTAATTATTGTTCATAGCTTTTAAACAAGGCTTAAGTCTTTTAAGTTTGAGGAAAAGAGCTTGCATTGGATTACCATGAATAGGTTGCAGCCAGGAATTTCGCACTTCATCCAGGAAAGTAGAATGGTTGGACCAAAAAATAAAGAACTTGAAAGGTTTTGGTCTGTTGGTATAGACTTCTTTGTTCAACCATACAAGAGCCATGCAGTGATTAGAGGGGCCTGGAGCTAAAAATTCCACAAAAGACTTGTTGAAGGAATTTATCTAAAGAGAGTTTATGAGAACTCTATCAAGTTTCCTTGCAATGAAGGTTTCTTTTTGTTTGTTACTCCAAGTAAAGGTATGGCCAAAAAATGGATGGTCCTGAAGGAGAAGGTCTTGAACCACATCAAGGAAGTCTTTCATATCAATAGAAAGATAAGGACCTAAAAGGTCAGAGTCAGAGCTTTCTTTATAGTGAAGGAAGGAGTTAAAATCTCCTCAAAGAATCCAAGGGAGAGAATTGAAATGAGAATTTAAATCTCTAAGATGCTGCCAAAGGCGTCTTCTAGAAATGCCATTGTTGTTGCCATATATGGCAGAGATGATAAAAGGGATATTGTTGAAGTTGCATTTGGCAGTAATACTTTGATCCGAAGAATTACAAAAGGAGATGTCAATTCCTTTTTTCCATAACAGCCAGATTCTTCCATTAGAAGCAGATTCATAATTAATGAAAGCATTCCAGCTTCTGAATTTAGAGTGTAATATGTTAACATAGTTTTCAGTCTTGATACGAGTCTCCATCAAGCAAAGAATATCTACTTTATATAGATTGGCCCTTTAGAGAACCTTAATTTGTTTTTTAGGGTTGTTTAACCCTCTGGTGTTCCAAAAACAAATAATCATTGAGAGAAAAGTTTTGAAGATTCCCCTTTTTTTCTAGAAGGGGTTTTGACTTTTACTATTTGTTCTTTCTTTTTTGCTTTAAGTTCCTTTAGAAGGTTAGCCACTCCTGAAGCTGCTGTCGTGTTTTCTTAATTCGAACCTCTGCAATAGGTGAGTTTTTATCAACGGTATTAAGGATTTTGAATCTATTAGCTGAACCTTTAAGAGCAACTTTGGTTTTAGCCTTAATAGGTCTACCTCTACCTCTTTTAAGGAAAGAGGTAGGCTCTTGATCCTTGTCAAATGGAGAGTTTGTCAAATGAAGATTGATAACTTTGTCAGATTCTTCACTTTGGGAATGTGTTGGAGGTAGCTTTCATTCAATTGCAAGGGTGACAGAAGGAAGTGAAGAATCATCCTTAGGAGATTTCTCTGTTAGATTATGATGATTAACTGAAATCTCTCCTGAGTGAGTGTCTTTAGGTTCAGATTGTTCCATTAAGGGATGAGGGACTTGCTTTGAGTTCTGCTCTTCTTCATTACTAACAGAATCTGAGATAGAATTAGAGACTATTTTTTTCTCTCTAGATTTTCATTGGTTGAGGAGCTGTTGATTGATGAGAATAACAGTTCTTGTCAGAGTGCCCAAAAGAGATATATTTACTACATCTACTCGACAACCAGGGAATTTCAACATAGATATTTGTGGTTTATCCATTAGCTAGTTCCACTTTGATCGATTCTGGAATTTCCTCTTTAACTCCTATCTCAACACAGACTTTAGCATAGAGAAGTCTAGTTTTAGAAGCAGTGATATTGTCCATAGAAATAGGAGTTCCTAAGGCGCTAGAGATGTAACTAAGGCCGGCTTGATTATACAATTCAAGAGGAACATTAAAAAGATGCAACCAAATAGGCAAACGAGCAAGGTCAAAATCTAATCTTTGCATGTTAAGCTCCCATTTCCTCAAAATTAGAGGCTTGTTGAGGATGTGCCATGGTCCATTTTCAAGGACCCAGTCTCTATCATTATCAGAATTAAAGGAAAACACATAAAGATTATTTCCGGCGAGGCTGACCTGGACTTGTGCACTTTTCAATTGATGACTCCAAAGGTTAGCAATAATCCTTTGCAGTGCAGAGAAATTTGGCGCGGCACCAAGGAATTGGCCTACTAGCGATGATTTCCAGTTTGTAATGCCAGCTTCGAAGACCTCTGGAGGCGGACGAACAATCGGGAAATCTTCAGTCAATTTGGGGGGAAAATAGGTTAACTTTTGTTCTTCTTGGCATCTGAAAAGCTTTATCCAATCCATGATGGGGAATGGAAGACTGAACAGAAGGAGAGCAGAAATACGAGATAGATGAGAACGGCTGAATGACGACGAGAAAACTGGCGATGCGACGAGGAAACTCAGGCTCCATTAGTCCTGCTAACATGCGCCTTGAGAGCATCGTAAACGTGCGCCATTAATGTGTCTTTGATTTTAAAAGTTCTTGATCATTTATCCCTTGGACTGAGTCTAAGGAAAAAGATGATTTGCTTTTCAAATTTCTTTATTAATCGACAGAGAAAAGAGTGGCAGACTCGGATGGCCATGAAGATGCAGTACATGTTAATGGTGCATAATCGTGAGTTTGGGACAACCAGCCAAATCTTTATTGCCGTAGTTGGATGGTCTTTATCGTTAATACAAATCAAGGTACCTACATCAACTCACCTTTTATTCCAATCTCTAGCTGATAGCCATGTGACTTGAATCTTCAAATCTAAAAAAATTAATCATAAACAGGCAAACTACTGATTTACCATATCTGTAATAAGATGGTTTTGGTCAAAATTGTGGCCAACAACCACCGCACTTGGACAGGTCTGGCATCCGTATTAGCAAAGTTTGAGCTGGACTGTGAAGGATTTTCTATAGTCGTTGGAGTAGCAGCAGCAGGTGGAGGAGGCGACATTGGCGGGACTTCGCATGTGCCGTTGTCCTGCCAGACACAACAATCAACGCTTAAAGTGCAAGATATCGAGAGCTGATGGAGCAAACAGGGTATGGAGAAGCATCAGTTGCAGCATATTAAATGTTTACAGACCTTGCAATAGGCTATATTGTCACATCCGCAAGTGAGATGTCCATTGGCGACATCCAAAGCCTCTGCGGTTCCTCCACCATCACTCCTCTGCATCAAAGGCAATGAAGTTGTTAAAATCGGTACAGCTTAGTAAATCGATAGTACAACGTCGTATAAGATTCAGTTTCAGCTGAAGAACCTGGTAAAAATCAACAGTAATGAAGTTTGGCCAGCGATCTCCAGCTGCTTTATGGCAAGTGTTGAGCATCCTAACAAGTGGAGCTGAATTTTCCGCGCACGCTGCCGTCTCGTTTGGATTAGTAGGGAAATAGTTTTGAAGAACCAGTGATCTCGATTTGGTGTTCATAGGAGATGATTCAGCACGGTTTGGACAGGAACCATCTTTCATCCCATCATCTCCATCTGTAAGTTCAGATCAAAACAGCCTTTTACATCCTTTGACAAGCTAAAATTTGCTTCTAATCCCCCGCCAAATACACACAGATATAGGGTTGAAAAGTGAAGGTAGAACTCACATTGGTTTTCTACAACGTATCTCCACTCATAAGCAATCCCCTCAGAAGCCTCCTTAGCTGATTTGGAGGTGAAAACGACGAGTCGCTCGTTCTGCTTAACCATGTCGTCCACGGTTGGCCAATCTTCACCATTCTTGGGCATCTTTGAAACAGGAAACCAGTACTGACTTAAACCGGATGCATTGAAAACTTTTGTTAAGCCTTGTGTGGATACGACATAATCCTCGATAAATATGGTAATAATCTCAGATGGATTTGCCTCTAGAAACGCGTGTATCTCTTTGAGCACATTAATGGCAGGTTGCTGAAGATAATTAACAAAAAAAAATCATTGACAATCAGCTAAAACTTTGAAAAAGTACATGAAACTTAAGAACCAATTGAACTTACAAATGCTGTGGCATTGAAGCATTGGCCGCCAAAGGAATGACATAACCATACATCACCATTGAAGTCGTACATATCCAGCATAAGTCCACGAACCCCATTCTACAAGATGATTCATTTCTTGTAAATTAACACGATCTTTAATCAAATAAAAGCAACAAAATCCAAGTTAATCTTCTTGAACATCTTTTTCTTTTTAAAAATTCGAGTCTATAATCTATACATTAGAAAATAATAAGTTGAATCAGTCCAAAGAAAGAAAACTAAATAAATACAATTCTAGTTTCCTTAAAAATACAAAGCAAAACAATCTGTTGTGATATGGTGTTGGGAAATTTTATGCTCTGGGTCCTTATTAATCATAGTGCATGTTAAATGTGAAATGCAGGGAAGATTACCTGGAAAGCTTTTATATATCTATGATTAAAGGGAAAGCTTATACTTTAAGAAAAAGATTCGACACAGCTCATCATATCAAATTATGCTTAATTTTCAATCAAAGCACAGGAATAACTGTCACCAACATGACAATTTTTTTTAATTATCTAAGGATAAGAGAATATATGTTTAAAATATTTCTCAACTATTAATAATGTGTGTACCCTAACAGATGCAGTTGTTAAACTATATAATATAAGAACAACAAAACTTTTTTTAACCACACAAAGACCATTTATAATCTATAAACTAATATATATTAATAATAGTAATATAAAATATAAGACTTTAAATAAGATGATAACAAAAAAACTACTAAAATAAGCAAGTACATAAATATAATGCATTAACCTTCACCTTCATAAGAAGTTGGGAGAAAACCTTTTAAAAGTAAATAAAAAAGTGATTACCTTAAGTTGATTGGTGATAGAGTCCTCCTGGTTCGTAGGTGAAAGAAGAGCAGACCCAGTCTCAGACTTTGCCCCTTTGAGTGCAAAAGAGTTGTGGGTTGTGAGCCAAGAATATTTGTTAAATGGCAACCCATTTACCTAACAACCAATTCACCAAATCCAATAAAATAAAGTTAAAAAGAAAAAAAGTCTTACAATAAGAAATTAAGGGGTGGGTGCCTGCCCCTACCTTAGATGTAGGGGGGAGTGGTTGAATCCGGGTGCATCTGGGTCGGGTATTCCCATTGGCGGCGCAAGTTTGACATGTTAACCCTGAGTCACATGAAGAAGAAGAAGAAGAAGAACATGTTTCTCCGATCTGTTTAAAGGTGAAACAATATGTTAAAAAAATATGGTTTTTTGTAAATAAAAGGAAACGAGTCTGTTTTCTTTTAATTACCCGGAGACTGAAAGACAAGGGGAAGATAAGAAAGATATGGAGGATGAAACATGAAATATTTGAAGGACTCAATCTCTGCAAATAAGATTAAAACATGAAAGTCAACTGAAATGATCTATGGAGAGCATAGATTAAAGAAGAAAAGAAAGAGTATTTTATGAGAATTACATACCTTCATTTCCAGAGGAACCGCAGAGAAAACAATTTTAATTTGAGTTGTGGGGAATTTGGCGTCGGAGAAACTGGAACAGCAGGGGGGGAAACACAGGACGTTGGCTCTACTGATCTTAGACGGGCTGTTTTTAATTTAAGTTGCTGCTGCTTTTTGCATTTAAGCTGTTGTCTCAAAAACTAACAATAAAAAAAAAAACACGCTCAATTTTTCAACCTCACGTGTCAAAATACCATTTCGTTGTTTACCTTTTTCAATAAAAAGGATGGCTGTATAAAACCATTCATATTTTGATATAATTTAATCCAAATTTAATTTTGTATTTTTATAGAATTCCAATACACTTAAATTTTCATTATGTTATAATTAAAATTAAAATAATATGTAATCTATTTACACTAGGGTAAAATTAAGTGAATTTTGCATATCCTTATAACTCTTTTAAGTTTTAAGAAGACTGAATTTTTTTCGACAAATTAGAACCCAAGGGAAAAAAGAGTAAAAATATAATTTTTTATTTATTTAAGAAAATAAAAAAGGTAAATTATGAATTTTTATATTTAAAAAAATATTTTTAAGAACTATTGTTTAAATATATTTAAAAAAAGTACTAAAAATAAATTTTAACTATAATTGAACGATCAAATAAGATATTACCTATTGATTTAATGTATCAAGTGATTTTTAATGATATTGTGTCTATTTTATAACAAAATTAAAATTTTATTTTATAATTTTTATATGCTTATTAATAAAAAATATTTTAATGTAATTGAATAATCATATTCTTACATTTGAAAAATTCAGGCGAATCCCTCGTTGAAGACTTTGATTAGTATTATATTAGATTTAGGATCCTTTCTATTGTACCTTGCTAGATAGAAAGCATAGAAAATTCCAATAGAAACGCGTTTCTATAAATTCTTAATATTCTCAATTACGCTCTTTTACCACGTATCTAATGATATTTTTAAAAATGGTAAACTACAACATTAACCACTTAATTATTTAACTCTTTTATTTCTATCATCAAATTTTTAATTTTATCAATCAGATCACCTAATTATTTAATTGTATCGAATCAAGTAACTTGTCGTTATCATTTAACAGAGAGTCTGATATGCCAATTAAAAGATTTAGTATTATTATAGGTTTAGTTCTTGTTACTTATATATTTTATCAATTTAATTCAATAAATTTTACTTTCTAATCAGATTATGACATGTGTCAATCTTTGGTTTGAGAGTCATATTTATTTTAATTACGTTATGATTGTGATTGGAAGAAAATAAATCAAACAAAAATGCACAAGGTCGGAAGGAATCAAACCTAGGTTGCTTGGATCCCTTAGCAATCACTAAACCATTGAACCAACCATTCTGGATCTTCAGAATCAACCATATATATATATATATATATATATATATATATAGCTTGTATATTAATGTTTAAAACTTAAATCAAATTTCTAAAAAATTATATATTTTTAATTTTAAAATTATATTTTATTTTCATCTTAATTTTTTATTATACTAGGGTGATTACAAAGTAATATATGTTCTAAATATTCTCTATCTTTTGACAATGAACCCTCAATCATTCTTGTTACAGTTATTAGTGCTCAAACCGGAGACTTCTAGAAATAACAAACATTCCTTAACTATTGAGGTAATTTGATTCTTATTGTTGACAGTGAGATTCAATTAAACCAAAGAACAAATAATAAAAAAATAATAATTTAAAGTTAAAATAAAAATAGAGTATATTTTTAAGTCAAGATATGAATTATATATATATATATATATAAAGATTAAGATAAAAATTATATATTTTTACAGTTAAGTTTTAAACACTGTTAGATAAAATATATATCATATGGTGATAACTGTAAACCAATAGATGCTTCTGGTTTAGTGGTTGGGCTCTTAGTTTAATTTCCTCATGGCCCAGGTTTGATTCTCCATTCACCCATTTCTATGTGTATTTTATATGGTGATAGGTGTCACGTTATGATTGGAACAAAATAAATTTATTAAATTATAATAAATTAAAATAAATATGACTCTTCAATCAAAGATTGACACGTTTCACAATTTAAAAAAATTAAATGTATTGAATTAAAATTATGATCAAATTGATAGAATATATAAATAACAAAAATTACATTTGTAATTATACTAAATTTTTTAACTATCACATCAGCACTTCCGTCAAATGTTAACAAGGAGAAGGTGACTTGATATAATAATCAAATAATTAGATGAACTGATTGATAAAATTAAAAGTTAGTGAAAAATCTTTTTGTATTTTTTATTTTCAAAATTAATGAAAAGTGTTTTTATTATCTGTAAAAAAATTAAATATTTTTTCACATAAAATCTTGGTACTTATTTTATTATGTGATCGTTATACTTGTTATTTTTTTAACAAATTGGTATCAAAACATCATGTTGATTGTCTCAATCAAGATATTTGAATCATTAAGGTTTGAAATATTGGTGTTGGATCATAACACCGAATTAGTATTGTGGCAAGTGGAGGTATGGAAAATTGCAAGAGATATCTTATTGTGATGAAAGGACAGAGAACGATTGTCAACTTTTATGTTTTGTAGAGGTCAACAATTCTAGGAGATGAGATTATTATTTTTTGGCTTAGGGTTATCTTTGTCTTTATAGTAGACACAATTTATTATTTTTGCACATATCATATTTTGTATTAATTTAACCCTCAAAGTTTTTTAATTGCATCATTATATATCTTATCCCTAACTTAAAATCCTAAATTATAAATCTTAATATAAGGTTTAGGGTTTAGAGGATATGGAGTTATAATTTAGGGCTTAAGATTTATATTTTACGGTTTAAGTTAGGGGTAGGGTATAAAATGAAGCAATTGAGCAAATTCGAGGACTAAATTAATGCAAAAATACGATATGTGCTAAAATGATAAATTAATCTACTACCGGGGATAAAAATTACTATTTTGCTTTTTTCTTTCTTTCATGTCAGATGATGATGTTACTAATAATCGTAGGTGGGATTAGATGTTACTAATAATCGTCGGTGGGCTAAAGAGTTTTGAAGAGCATAAAAGAATTTAGTTTTGTGGACAACAAATTTATAAAAAAAACAATTAGATAGTATTTCAATGAATTCTTTATAAATAAAATAAAAATAATAACTAATATATTTTAATGGGTAAACTACACTAGTCTTCACAAATTAGTCACCAAATTATTATTTTTTATTTGACAAAAATATCATTAATATTATTTTTTCTATTTTAATCGACTGCGGTTAAATATAAAACAATGAGACTAACATGATTTTTTTATCTTGAATGAGATTCCTACGCTTAATCACTAAGCTAGGCATGGAATTTATTATAAATGTATTAAAACTTATATTTAAATTTGTATTGGGGCTTATAAACATAGAAAAAAGATTTAGATTTTGGAATAATAAGTCGGATATTAAATTCGCCTGCATAAATGATCCAATTTCATGTATACATCCTTTTAGAACACACAACGCTTGAAGACAAAACTCGTGGCTCCTTGATCGAATGAAGTTTTGTTATTCATTCACATGGAAAGATATCTGGAAAATAATGTGAAGCCATGTGGAAGAGGTTGGCTATCGATCGGAATTTACATAGGCTAGTTTTCTCTCTTCTTTATGTGTTCCATGGATTTTCAATTTCTTTTGAAGTTGAACTTCACTGACAGATCAACTTTGACAGAGGATGTTAGTTCTAGTTGGAACATCATTTAGTTGGATACTTGTGGATTGATACAATTCACTTAAAAATACATACTTCTTGTAAAAAAGACATTCATTAAAGTTTGTATATGGCGTAGAAGGGAATAGAAATAGTGTCACTGCTGAGGATAGTTGTTTTTCTTCCCTATTCTAGTGGAAAGAAGAAGCTGTCCAAGCAACAATCTAACAACAACTTGAGTGGCTTCTTTAAACAGATACAGCAAATACGTTGGCTGTCAGAGGATGTGAAAAACTTGTATCTCTAACTGCATATTGCGATATCTGTCTTCCTGATGAGATCAAGGTCTGAACCATTTTCCCATTTCTTCGGTTGATAATAGAAACCAAAGAAGATGGCAAGTGGGGCAAGCTCTTTGAATGCCTAAAATGACAAAGTAACCAACAACCCATGCCTTTTGCTTCCAAGTTCAAAGTCATCATAGCATCCATTCTCAACTTTCAGGTACATCTTATTTTAACCCAAGTACTAAAACTAACTCTTAAGTAATCAAGTTTAAGTGGCAAAATCATTCTTCACAACAAACTAGTGAGGCGCATCACTTGTGCAAGAAGGAATGCTTTTCAAATATGAAATTAACCATTAAATAAATTGGAAAATAAATCATTGACTGACGGTTGTTCCCAACAGAATGATTTTTGGTGCACCGACGGGCCTGGGTGTCGGCACCCTACAATCTGCCTATATTCTTTGCTTTCTTCATTTTCATTCGGAAACAAGCATCAGGCATTCCAATATTTGTTCTAAAGATTAAGCAAAATGATCATCACAACAACAACAAAAGGCCAAAGGGTTTTCACATTAGGTTCAGCAAAAACACAACGCTGAACTTTCCTAAAATTAGTGTCATTTGTTTTGTAATACTTGTAAAATCTAAACTAGTGCAGGTTAATTACCCAAAGTTTTTAATTCAATTAGTTTGATTTGTATGACTTGATCACCAAATAATGTATCTTACAGATGGACAATTACCCACCACTGTAATTGTAAAAGATGAATTAATAACTTGGAACTGAAGGAGTCCAATTTCTGATTTTAATTTTCTGCAACTGCCAAGTTTTGATATTTTTGGGGAAAAAGAAATGAAATTATCCAAGTCAAAGAATATAATGTACAGTATACAATATGAGGAGCCAATAGAGTTCCCCTAATCATTTACAAATAATAAAAAAAAAATTCATCACCAATTGCCCACACAACAAACAATTGGATCAGAGCCATCAATATTTTTTTATCTAACGTAATCAAACTAATTATCTCTTTCTTCTACCTCAGGGTGATCCAGTTCCCGGAAATCGACCAGTGGAGTGGGCCGTCACAAGCCAATTCACGAATCCTTTCCATGGGTGACGAAACGTAACTTGAAAACGAAGAACCAAAGCTTGAATTCTCTTGAGAAGAAGCTGTCGACTGAGTTGAAACCCAGTCTGGAAAATGGAAAGGACATCTCGGTGACTCTGAAAATTCTTCAAACCAGCATCGCCCAGATGTCGATGCTTCTTCTTCTTCTTCATGACATGGATTAATTTCAATAGTATCATTTTCACCAGCCAAAAAAGGATGATCCAGGAGCATTTCAGCAGTCCACCGTTTCTTCGGGTCTCTAACAAAGCACTTTCCGAGAAAATCTTTTCCACCCTCGGATAACTCGGCAGGAATTCCAGGCAATTCATCGTCAACCCCAATTCTAAACAACAAAGCCGCCACGCTTGTTCCCGGTTCAAACTTCCAGGCTGGTTTCCCAGTGATCATCTCAACCACGGCACACCCAAGTGCCCATATATCCACCGGCGAATCATACACGTTTAAATTAACCGACTCCGGCGCAATATTCAGAGGGGTTCCCCTGATTTCCACCGTCCTCTGTTTTTCTCCGTTTCTCTTCGCCAATCCAAAATCTGCTATCTTGACGTCGCCGTCATCAAACAAGAGAATGTTTTCAAGTTTAACATCACAGTGAACAAACCCTTTGCCATGAACAAAGCTTAGCCCTTTAAGTATCGATCTTACATATCTTCTAACATCGGATTCCGTCAGGCTTCCGCCGCTTTTCTTAACCCGGTCAGCCAAGCTTCCTTTTTTAGCGTACTCCAAGAACAAATTATACTTCTTCTCACCATTCTCGACGGTGAACTCATCGCCAAAACAACTGATTATTTGTGGGCAAAAACCAAGCTGGTCCAGCACTTGCTTCTCGTGCCGAAGAGAAACAAAGCCGGCAGTTTGAGAAGATTTTACCACCATCAATGGAGATTTTGAAAAGCTTTTCTTAAGAACCATCAAATTGACAGTGCCGAAACTTCCAGAGCCAATCGTATCCCCTCGAACCCACTCCATTTCCAACTACACAATTCGAATTGGGGTTTGTGGAAGGAATGGAAGGGTCGTTTTTTGCTTGGCTCCTTGAGAGAGAAAAGGAAGGCCAGGCAAAATGAGTAAAACCGGGTGTTACAGGGCGTTATAGTGGTTCCGCAAACTCCTTTTATACAAAACCAAGATTTTTTTTAAAAAATTATATGGTAGCCGTTCAATTTCAGTGTATCAAATATAATTTCAATTTTTTCCTCTAAATAATGCACGTGATAGGCAAGTATATATTATTTGTTTTTTTTAATATTTTTTCCCAAATTTGGATACGAAAGCTGAACCGTTGCTTATAAAACGTGGTCGACAGTCATGTTATGGCCAGCCAATATTAAAGATTTTTATACCCACATGAATTATGATTTATTGTAAATTAGGTTTAATGTATTAATAACGTAGGACGACAAAATCTTTTCAAATTAATGTTTACATAATAAATTAGATTATGCCATATCAGTTGATAATAACCTAAGTTAGATTTCTCATTATATATTTTTCACTATTGATTTACAATTTTATATTTTAAAATAAAACAACTGAATATTATTACTTAATGGTTCAACACATTAATAGTTCTATATCAAATTCTTTATTACTTATGATCATCTATTGAATAACTTTTTATTATATAAAACATTTTTAACACAAATCTTGAGTGTAATGTAGTTTTAAATTCGTGCGTAGCATGTTACATGTTAATGAATTATAAGTCTAATAGTATAGTAACTTTTAAAATTATTTAAGACAAATAAAATTGAAAGAATATTAAATATGATTCATAATTTATAAAATAATCCCATACATTCAAAATAAAATCATAAATCGATAATACGAAAATATAATTTAAAAAACTTATAGTTTCTGTTCTTAATTGTACCCTTGAGATTGTTATTTCACGTCAATAAAAAATATTGATCATCTAAAAGGATTTATTTAAAAAATAAAATGATATGATTTGAATATCAGTATTAGAGGGTATATACATGTAAATTAGTTCGTTCGAATCTATTGAATAGTCTTAATGGTTAAAAGAGTTGAACTAAAATGTGAGTGCATGTCCAGCCATTGAATAAAGCAGTAGCATTCACTTCGAACCCAGATCCTCTTTCTGCACAATGAAAGAGAAAACTGGATAAGCTTAGGGGGTATGCGAAAACCCTTTTCTTTTTTTACACTAAATTTCAAAATTATATCCAATTTTTCTCTAATGCTTTCCAGCACTCTCTAATGGTTTTAAGAATGCTTTGATTGCTCTTATTAATATCATGCAATTGTTTATTTTAATTCCGATACAAATTTATTTTTGAGACAATATCAGTATCTGGATCTCATGAGGTATCAATGAATCATAGTTTCTAACCTCATTAATGGATCTATGAAAGGATTTTTAAACATAACTAATGAGGTGGCAGATTTTAATTCACTAATTATACATGAATCATGGGATTCATACGTTGCTACATCAAATATTAATGTTTTCTATTATTAAAATTTTCTTAACCTATAGATAAAGCACACGCATAAAAAAAGTTATCTCTAGAGCACATTCTAACGTTTAAGTTAATATGCATTCCATGAGTTTGATATTATAAGCCACGTATACCTAATTTTATGTTAAGATGTGAAATTTTTAAATTTTAAGGAGAAATGAATTTATAAAATTTTATAGGTGAGAATCAGGAAAAGATAACTTAATTATCACATTATCTTTTTCACCATATGACAAAGCATGAAAATGCACGTCAGTTAAGAAACGAAAACTTGGCCTAAAATAGAAGAAACTTAAATTGAAATCATAATCTAGACTATAGCTTATAGATAATCATATTTGTTTGGAGCAGGACCAGGGTCATAATCTCAATTTAAGAAGAGTAAAATATAATTTTTTTAAAACTAAAAAAAAATTATAATTATTCTATAAGTATTTAAATTATGCATAAAAATTAAATGTATAAAAAAATTGCCTAAGCTCATTGCAGTATCTAATAGAACCATTCGGTCTAGAGGTAGGGGGCAATTTGCATAAGCTCATGGCAGTATATTATATGTGACTTTTAAGTATTAGCATTAAAATATTGATTAGTAAAGTCAGATATTAAGTCGTTATATTTATGGAAGTGAAAAAGATAAGCAAAGACTCATTAAATATGATTTAAGTTGATGACCAAGTTGTGTGACGGAGATGTCGAAAACGTTCTTATCTTTTTCGTTAAAACCTGGGAATTGAGACGTTCAGCTTAACCATTGAAGGCCAGGGAAGAGCCATTTTTTTTTCCAATTTTTTATACAACGCTTAATGCTACACAAAATTCTCTTTATTTTATATTGAAAGTTCATGTGTATTAATGAGTTCTTGAATTTACAATAATAATAATATTATTAATTAAATTAAAATATATATTTAATACTATTAGTATTTATTGGAAAACGAAGCGTTGCTTATTTTGGTATCACCATAAAATTCAGAATTGACTGAGAATGCTGTAAGGGTTAAAAAAATGAAGAAAGGATTAATATCAAAATAAGTGTCCAAATTATAATATAAAAATAAGTGTCCAAATTATAGCGTTTTTTAATAAGTGCCTAAACTATTTTTTGATTCATTATGGTGTTTAACGTTACAAACGTTACTGTTTTAGGTGTAACGTCGTCAATGACATTAATTTTATCCGTTAAGTGACACATGTTACAATATGGTGATTTTAAAATTTATTTTAAAAAAATAATAATAACCCCTAATTTCTATTAAATTATAAAACCCTCAAAATCCTTAAATTTTCCAAATCTTAACCTTAACCCGCCGCTGCTTCCCTTTCCGGCCACGATCACCACCATCGACGTAGTTCATGCTACACTCCTAGTCATAAGACACCGTAGACACCGCCGGTTGACCATCGAAATTGTGTGGGATCGCGATTTTCATCCTAGGGTTCTTGGGGTATAAAGCGTCGATTTGTCGTTGATCGATCACGATTTCATAGGAGTTTTGGTTGTCAGGGGGAGGTGAGGTCGGGTGGAGCTTCATCAACAGTAAAGGGCAGTTGTCGACGTGGGTTTAAGAGTTGAAATGAATGTTATCAAAGTTTTGGTGTAGGCAACTTATTTTGCCACATGCGATTATTAGGAAAGTGGAGCAATTATGTTCCCGCTTCTTTTGGAAGGGGTCTAATGTGCCGGCTAAAGGTGCAAGAGTTAGCTGGAAGAAAATTTGCCTCATGAAATCTGAAGGGGGATTGGGGTTGCAAGATGTGGGGTGCTGGAATAAGGCTTGCATTCTGCAGCTTATTAGAAAGCTTTTGGCTAATGAGGGCTCTCTCTGGGTGGCTTGGATACATTCCTATGTTATTAGGAATGCTGATTTTTGGCAGATGGCAATCCCTACAAATGCTAGCTGGAATTTCAAGCACTTGCTGGAAATCAGGCCTGAAGTTGCTCATCTCTTCTCGGGCCAGGTTTGTGATCTGAGCACGAGGAAAGTCTGAGATAATTTGCGTGCTACTGGCCCTAAAGTACCCTGGCACCATCTGATCTGGTTCTCTGGGGGCATTCCCAAATTTAGCATTGTCGCATGGATGGCAATGCTTAATAGACTGCCTACTCGGGTTAGGCTCGTACACATGGGTTTAGCCATTGAAACTGACAAGTGCTTACTGTGTGGCACTGAGCCAGAAACAAGAGAACACTTGTTTTTTTAGTGCAGATTTGCTAAGGAGCTATGGGGATCCATCCTTGATCTATGTGGCATTAACCGAGGAGTTAGCAATTGGAACGGTGAGCCGACCTAGGCTGCTCGATTTTTTAAAGGCAAGTCTCTCATTGTACGGGTCCTAAAACTTGCTTGGACTGGCCACATGTATGGTATTTGGATGGAAAGAAATAACAGATTATTTGGTAAAAGGAATAGAGCCAAGGATGATGTGGTGGAGGACATCAAGAGGACCATTCAAATCTGCCTGCAGTACTTGGCTTTTAGCAGAGCAGAATCGACCAACGCTGCTCTTTGTGACAAATGGCGAATTGCTTAAGCAGAGCTTGTTTTGTTGTTTTCTTTTCTTTCGCAACATAGGTTAGCTATGTTTGCTGTCATGGCTTTGCTTAATTGTACTGTTTATTGACTTTGTATTTTGTAACAGTTTACTGCTTCTTGGGTAATGAAATAGAATTATCCAAATTTTATTTTTTTTTACTTTTAAATAATTTTTTAAAATTACCAAATTATGACACGTGTTACTTAACGAGAAAAATTAATACCGTTGAGAGTCCGAGTACCTAAAGTGATAACGTTCACTAATATGAATTAAAAAATAATGTAGACACTATTTAAAAAAAATAGTTTGATCACCTATTTTGGTATTAAGGCATGAAGAAAATATAGTAAATGAAGGAATAAAGCAAAACCCAAATAGAATATCTGATGCGCCGCTGAAATGTCAATTTTCATGTGAAGTAGAAACAGAGGAAATAATAGAGATGTTTAAGTAAAGATAGTCTAAAATAAAGTTAAGAAAATATATTATCGAAAATGTTAATATTTTTTTAATATTTTTGATAAAGTTTTATTTAAAATGTTATTTTTTATTGAAAATATTAATATCGGGTGCTACTTAAAATATTATTTTTTGTACCGAAATATTAAAATCGAAAATATTTATTTTAGGCAACGAAATTAACATTTTCGATAAAAAAATAATATTTTAATAACGCTCTACTGAAAATATTAAAAAAATATTAATATTTATGACAATATTTTTTCTTAATCTTATATTAAGGTGTTGTATAGTAAAAATATCCTAAAATAATGGGATTTTATCGGCTTGCAAGATTAGACAACGACCCACGTGAGCCCAACATATGGCGAACCGTAGCTGAAGCCGACGTTGATTTAAATATAACAAAAATGAACCTCGACGGTCCTTTAATTGAATTATAGGTCACCACCCAAGTAGAACAATTTGCAGCTGCAATTAAAAATGGGGTCTCCCTACTTACCCAAGGGCTACTCCCTTTGATTTTTACTCTTTCGGGTTTAACATCCACCG